TGCTTGTGTCGGTCGATGTTCCTGTGTACAAGCATTGTAGCAGAATTGCTTTATTCTCCAAGCTTGTTGATCATTTCATAAGTTACGTTTGAACTCCTCCACAGTATAGTAGGTCACTAATGGTCACAATCTGACTGTCTCAATTTTGCAGATGTCACAGGAACCATGATATGAAAACCACCACAATTTCCAGAGAGATGTTATAGCTGATTCGGGCACTTCTGTTTACAGACAGATGAGATGACATGTTTCGATGTGTGAGCCAGGTGGGAGGCATTTACAAGTTGAGGCGGCAATCAGAGCCAGCTGCAGTTGGGCAGGACGAACTGGTAATTGGAAATACCATGCATGAGTATTTTTGCACAAGTTTTTGTTGTGGTTCACACACGTGTTTTAGCCTTTCACTCCACATGTACCTTCAAGGGTCGCCCGCATCAGTCACACATGTTGCTCCCATGATTGTGTTTGTCGCAAATGACTCGAGGAGGCCCGGCAAAAGCTGATCTCCAACCCGTCAGTGAACTGCCCAGTGTCAAGCATTGTGTTTCATCTCTAAACCACAAGCTGAGTCTATTGAGAACATTTAAGAGCGGAGCTTCCGCTTTTTTTCCCCAATGGTTCAGATCAATCAATGTCCTTCAACATTATTTGGTGAATGGGTTTAGCTCAAATGCTTTGCCAAGGTCGAAAACTTCTTGCGCCTTTCAGACGAGCCCAACCCCTTTGGCACGGAGGCTGGAACTTCGGGTCTCAGGAACTCTAGAAGAACCAACAGGACGCTACTAGGAGCAAAGGGCATCGCTACTAGGAGCAAGAAGCTACTAGTAGGGGCTCCTGGCCTTACTACTAGTAACAAGAAGCTATTAGAAACAAGAACACTTCAGGATACACATATTTGTGCACACTTGTACAGTGGCTTCAACTGGAGCCCATTGTCTTGTTTTGTTTCCCGCTATCCGGGCAAAGTTCATGGCGATTTGCAGGTGGCAAGGGCCTCTCAGAGCTTTATGCCCTCCACAGCTCCATCGGTGGAAAACCTGCTGCGATCTTGGGAGGTGCGGGTGGGCTGTGCCAGGCTGTGGGAGGGCTGGGTGGAGCTGGACGAAGACTCACTGTCCCACTGTCATGCTTAAGTTTGCCCGCAAGGGTTTGGTGGTTACCAATGGTTTCTATTCCTTCGTCTAAGTGCTCAAATCTCGTTGAACAAGTCTATGTCAGTCTGAAAACTTGCCTGCTTTGATCTCTTCCCACTACTGTTGGTAGAGACGTCGTTTTGCGGTTCCGAACTCTGGGGGATGTAGGAGTACATTGTACTGCTTGTTTCACTTTGCCAGAAAGAAAGAGCACACTGTACTTACAGTGTTGTCAGACAGCTTCATTGCTTAGTGCTTATTATGCTCTCGGCCTGTTGAGAACAGCACGCGAGGTTGCAGACACAACACCAAGAACACCAGCTGAAGTTGTGATTTGGCAGAAGTATAATAAGTCGCACAAGCGCGCACAGTCTACCTCTTTCGAGGTCTCTGCCAGAGTGGTGAGAGAGGTAGGAATTGGGGTCAATGCGTTTTAGGACATGTCCAGCCGCGCTGAAAGTGTGGCTGGGCCCTGAAAACGTGATAGGCCTTCTTAGAAGCCATAGCCTCCTTGTTTCATGTCCTCTTCGTTGTCGTTTCCCAGCCCTTTTTTGACAGTCGCTGCAACGAGCCATCCAGAGGCCACTCTGGTTTTCTTCTTGAGCACCGAACCTCCTTTACTCTGAGGATGTGCACTGCCTGAAGCATTTGGAGTTGTGCTCATGGTCACTTCTTTGCATGGGCAGTCAAAGGGCAGCACGCCAGTGTGTTTCACTACTTATTGCTCGTTTGCTCGTTATTTTTGGATTTGGGGTGTCCAATATTCCACCAGATGGGCACTATTTTGCCGTAACACCGATCCTTATGCTATCCACACCAGGGCACTTTGGGGCTTTTGATATTGCTTTTTGGTGAGGATGTCCGGCATGGTTTGGATTCCTAGCACAGTTCGTTTATATAGCATGTTGAATGGCCTTGAGCAGAAAGGATACTTTTGTTGCAACCTGTAGATTGTGCGAAGCGGTAGGTGGGAGCTTAGACAAGAGATTCCAGGAGGCCGACTAGAATCAGCTGGTGCAAGTTGTAAACACATATTATCTATAATAATATAATATATATAATATTAATATTTTATGCATGCTGCATGTATAACAAGTTTTGGGTTCCCGCTAACGTTTGGAAGGGACGGAAGAGAGCTGAGGTTTTCTACACTGACCCCGGAAGGGAAACGAGATATTTGCAGAGATGTTCGACAAGTTCGCCGCAGCTCGACTGAACCTTTTCGACATGAATGAAGTTTCTTGGGTTTTCGACATACTAGTACCGCAGCTGACAAGAAGTGGTGGTCGTGTCAGGTTTGAGCTACGGAATCAATATGATTTTGTTTGTTTTGAGGTGTAGGACTGTGCCATTCAAGACGGTGGCACTCGTGTTGGAACCAACAAGCACTAGTGTGTTATCTTCATCCCGATTTATATATCCAGATTCGTGCCATGAGAGGTGTGGATGAAGCTTCGAATCGAGATGAGTCCAAATGGTCCAAATGAGTCCAAACGTCCGAGTCCTCGCAGGAGGGAACATCGAACAATGGGTCTTGTCCTATTTCTTTGACGGGGCCGAATCCACTTCGGAGCTCACGGACCACGAGTCTGTGGAGGTTCAGGAGAGAGAATGCGGAAGGGATAGGGGAAGGGATAGGAAGGGACCTTGATGTTATTTAATCATCAGCGCGGGTATCCAGCTTTGGAAGGGCTCCATGACTTTTTGCTTCAGGTTTTAGGCTTCAAGGCTGGACAGCATGCCACTCTTGAATGAAGCACCTTTGCGGCAAATTCAAACCAGTGATGGAACTATCAGCGGTATCATTGCAATATTGAGCTATCCAGACCATGGAGAACATCACTGGGCAAGAATGTCAATAGAAGCTTGGAGATTCGTCCCTGAATAGAAGACTTCTTGCATCCTCAGATGCCTTTCTCGAGGAGCTAATTGATGCGGTGGCCACGTGGGCTGACCTGCCGTTGCCGGACGCGCTCAAAGATTGGGCCGGAAAGAATGAAGGCGAAACTTTCAGAAAGGATGCACAATGGCTGGAATTGTTTATGAACATTATTTTTTAACGGAATATCAAAAGATGTCTCCAAGGACCCCTTTCTCGCAATCCATGAGAGTCAAAGCTGAGTTTTTCTGACCAACATACAGGAGGATGGATTAGAATGTCCGTACGGCCCCCAAGAAGTTTGGCCACAGAACCATCCGAACCGCATTTTGTAACAGTATGAGTGTTGCAAGCGTTTTTGGACCTTGGCAGGCTTGAAGTGCTTTCGCATGAGGAATGATCCGTCCCTTGGCAGGTCTTGGTCAGGATTAGGCTTGTATTTTGTGTGTTGCTACTGAGACTCGATGCACACGACCCTGTCCAGCTGCTCTGTGTCAACAGTAACAAAAAGTCCTTCTGAATTGCCAACAACATACCTTTACCTCACCTAGCTGTCAGGGTTGCCAGTCGTCATTGGCAGTGTTGTGTCACATGCACTCATTCTCGCCAAGATTTCCAGCTGTTCACCGGCCGCTGCTGGCCTATGTCAACACCGCTTTTCTGGCGCCTGCCATTGGACATCAGGTCTGGATCGGGATTGACTCCATTCAATTCCAAGACTTCGTATGGCCTTACTACAAACAAGACCCAAAATACGGACTCAACTCCAACTTGAGCTTGTCGCAGTGAGAAGACCACCAAACTGAAGGGTCCTCCAACACAACAAAGACCATTCTGATGCCAGAGACCAAAGAGTTTTTGATGTTGCCGGGGTAACTCACAACACTTCAATGGATTCAAGTTTAGCCCCAAGACCCCCGACCATCATGAATTGAACAGTCACGAAGACAATTCAACAGCTTTTGCTTCCCTTGCTTCCTTTTGCCAGGCCTTGAGCTTCTTGGGTTTTCGTCCCTTTCGCTCTGGCAGCACCGAGCAGCTTGGCTCATGGGCAAAGCCAGTGGTTTGTGTCGTTCCACCGAACGGGTGGAGTGTTTTTGTGGCTCGCTCATGCAATTAGATGCAATGCCGCTCCAAGACCTCTCGTGTCAACCTCGCATTTTGGTTTGACCCATAGGCAGGAACGACCACACATAGGCAGGCCCAGCGACAAAGTCTGATTTCTATCATACCCAAGCCCGAACGAAACATGCCTCGCAGGGGGATTTGGCAGCTACTCAAGACGAGCAAGGCATTGTTGGTGTTTATGAGAGTAATCGTTGGGGTTATGATGGGTTATCAGTAGTTATGCTACTTGTAGCTTGTTCTGCAAGTCGATGTTGAAAAGAGCAAAGTGGAAAAGGTCAGGTCAGGGCTCACATTTTCAGAAGTATTATGAAGTATTCAATTTGCTTGAGAAAACGAGAGCAATCCCAAAAACCATACCTAGCCTTGTGACTGTACACATCTTGGCGTCATGTCGATACCAAACGATGCCCGCATTGTATGTTTGGATGCCTCGGGAAGCCTTGCATGGCTACGACTTGCAATTGTGGGAACTTGCAATCAATTGACAATTGACAGTGTTTCTCTCCACCCTTTTGGCATACTATGTAGCAGTTCTGAATGCTTGCATCCGCTCTCACCACTCGCAAGCCCACTGCAAATCTTAGCACTCATGAAGCATACAGGTTGTTTACTCTACATGTAGACGGTACCTTCCCAAACAAGATGGCTTGAACAGACGATAGCAATCCCCAAAATGACTGATACCTGTGAAGCTTCACGCAGGGGCCCACTAGTTTTGCCGGTCGTTTTTAAAACAAGGATGTAATGGAAACCTTTGGATGCCATGCTCTCTATGCATTTTCCTTTGTTGCGTGGCTTTGCCCAGGTATTGGTTCCGACCTCCAGAACCTGAAAAGCACTGGGCGAGCGGCTTGCGACCTCGCATCTTAGCGTGCCTCGGTGCTAGATTTGGTTTTGGCTGCAATGATCTATGCAATTCAGTGCAATTCTGCAATTCTTCCCTCACTTATTTTGTATCATTTATATAGCAGTTCGTGTGTTCGCACGTCCCCACAACAAGAATGTGACCTTAACATTCTGCTCAGTTATTGTTACATGTATCGTCACGTATCCATACTAGGAGCGTTCTCCGTCGGGAGCGGCTACTCTGCTAAGGTCGGGGAAAGCCTTGGTTTTTTGCCATGGTATTGGCGTGGGGCCCACCATGTCGAAGCCTTGGGAGCAACACGCTTTGCGACTCTTTGATCGTTCAGCTTCAGTCCAGTTTCAGCAAGGCGATTCCTGGTGATTCCTTATCATGACTCTTTACACTAGTTGCACAAGAAACAGGAAAACCATTTGTAAACGGGGCAAGCTAACATAGCCATTTTGCACAACACTGCTTGGGAGTTGTTCTAGACATGTCATCATTGACGAGAGACATTGATATGCAGCAATTACATATAACATCATATCACATTATAACTGTTGTCATGAAGGTATATTTCATGCGAGGCACTATTGAAGGTTTTCAGAAGTTTTGTCTGGTGCGCTTAGGTGCATCACATTTCTGCAACGATTGACAAGATCTTTGGGACAGGAGTGCTCAACACATTGACAATGAAGCATATTGCCTGAAGCAAGGAATTCAACCTCCAGATAGTCGAACCGTGGATGTAGTGCAGCGTCAGAGGGACCGTTTTGGAGGTTGCGAAGCATTTCACCAGCGTGTCACTGTTTGGAACTCCGGGACCAGGAGCATCCAATCTTCCTTGTGGACACTGCTGGAATCTCCATGAGATTTTCAGACGATGTCCCAGGTGCCCGAGAGGTTAGAGCCTGAGGCAAGTCTGCCTCTTTCAGTTCGACAAAGTCTGCCTATTTGGTTGAAAAGGCAGAGCTGATATTTGAGGCAGCAGCAAGGAATTCACTAGATCTCAAGTCTGAGGTTGCAGCGAACATTGAGAACATGCTGCAGGCGTGCTTGTGAATTTTGATCTATGATCTCACTTGTTTAATTGCCGTTTGATGCCGTTTGCAGTGCAATCGATAGTTAAGTTTCCCTAAAAATCTAGGAACCAAATGAATAAAGATGGCGCGGGGAGCTTCCTTGAAGAAGCGAGAGCTCTCCTGTGTCCTAAGTAGTAGCTACTTGTTAGCTACTAGCTACCTCTTCCCTACTTAACTAAATAGGAAGGGGGAAGCGGGCTCTAAAGAAAAGTAAGCCAAACTGTTTGCCAAAACATTCAGGTAGAGGACGCTACTAGTAGCAAAGGGCATCGCTACTAGGAGCAAGGACGCTACTAGGGGCTCCTGGCCTTACTACTAGGAACAAAGACGCTACTAGGAGCTTTTTCGCAAACTGTTTGCCATGTTGCCACGTGCAGGTTTGGGGCCTTGAAAGATCCCATTTCGTTGGCCATTCTTTTGGAGCCTTTGTAGTGGCATGGGTCTTGCGCTATGCTCCTCACGTCGTGGAGAGGACCACTATCGGCTACTCTCGGCGCTGAACCGAGAAAGACCCACCAAGAAAGAAGGCCCTGAACCATTGCAAGAGCTTTTCTTCCATTGCAAGAGGTAGTCCCCAATTTCTTTTGTGTAGCCCATTGCAAACTTGCACGTGGGATAAATTCATCCGTAAGTGCAAGAATGGTGATCTCCATTGAGA